TGGTAGAAACCAGGCAGGTTACAGATGGGGGCCCTGTGCTGTCCACCCCTCCCCACTGTGCTGTCCACCACCCCAGGACCCTCTGCCTCCACCAGCACCCCCCAAGAATCTCAGGCTCTGGGCATTCAGAGGCACCTTCCTGTGCCCCGGGCCAGGTGTCCAGGGTGACCAGCAGGACGTGTCACAGCCAGAAAATCCAGAGGTGCCCAGCGGACCCCTGCTTCCCAGGGAAGCTGTGGTTGTCATGGGAACCCGTGGGCCCACAGAACCCCTATAGGAAGCATGTCTGGGGTTGGGACTGTGGGGTCACATTTGCAGAACACAAAGCAGAGAATCTTGACTTAGGACATTTGAAATCCAAAAAAGAGGATTTTGTGCCAGAAAAGGAGGAGAAAGTCTAGAGTCGGCCGGAAACACTGTCTGGGGGTGGAGGGGCCTGGAGCATTGGGAGAAAGAACCGGGCCCCATGGGCACCAGGACCCCGCACCGTGCCAGCTGCTCTCAGGGCCACATGTTGTGGGACCAGGAGGACCCTGGTGGTGGGTCAGGGCGCGGGGGTTCTAGGAGGAGGTGGCTCTGGAAAGCGGAGGGAAGGAGAAGTCCGTCAGCCTGGGACTGACGCTCCAATGTCAATGGCCCTGACAGACCTGTGTGCGGTGGGGGAGGGGGTGCAGCAGAAAGGAAGCCGTCCCCTCCCAGCCCTGGGGCCCATCCCTCTTCTCCTGCCTGGCCTGAGAGTGCCAGCACCCGGGCTCTGCAGCCAAGCCTGGCCACCCCACTCGGTGACCCCCAGCTGTTCCCACAGTCCAGACACACACCGCAGACCCGGAGTGGTTTCCACACTGTTTAATGGAGTCAAGTCACAAGAAGCCATCTAGGATTTCTGGGATTCTGTTCCCGCTCCCGACTCATCTCTGAAGGCCCCTCCCCTGCTCCCTGAGCCCCCTGCCGGCAGGAAAACACAGAGCCTTGAGAGGCTGAGAGGAGCAGAAGGGTCTCGGGGCAGGGACCCGCTGCGAGCGGGTGAGGCTGGGACTGGGGAGCAGCAGGGGTGTCCCCAAGGAAGACGGGGCCTCCTGGATCATGTAGACCCCAC